AAATTGATTGATTGATTGATTGATTGTTTTTCACCTGGTATCCACCTATTATTCACTTGTTTTTTTTTACCTGTTATTCACCTGTTATTCACTTGTTTTTTTACCTGTTATTCACCTGTTATTTACCTGTTATTCACCTGTTATTTACCTGTTATTCACTTGTTATTCACCTGTTATTACCCTGTTATTCACTTGTTATTACCCTGTTATTCACCTGTTATCAACCTGTTATTGACCCATTATTAAGCCTGACCTACAGTTTGAGGATCATCAGAGGAAGACAACCTGTCTGAATAAGTCCTGAAGTGTCCCCAGCATTCAGAGACAGTGTCTCAGGGAGGTCACAGTCATCACAGTGTTTATGTGTCTGTTACTCAGCCTGGACTTTAACATGCTGTCAGCGTGTCGATGTCTCACCGTCATTTCTGAGCAGCACAGAGAGAAGGAGAAATGTTCATTTCCCTTAGTCATCTGATGACACACTGGATAAACCTGACACACACACTGGATAAACCTGACACACACACTGGATAAACCTGACACACACACAATGGATAAACCTGACACACACACTGGATACACCTGACACACACACCAGATAAATCTGACACACACTGGATAAACCTGACACACACCAGATAAATCTGACACACACTGGATAAACCTGACACACACTGGATAAACCTGACACACACCAGATAAATCTGACACACACTGGATAAACCTGACACACACACTGGATAAACCTGACACACACACTGGATAAACCTGACACACACACAATGGATAAACCTGACACACACACTGGATACACCTGACACACACACCAGATAAATCTGACACACACTGGATAAACCTGACACACACCAGATAAATCTGACACACACTGGATAAACCTGACACACACTGGATAAACCTGACACACACCAGATAAATCTGACACACACTGGATAAACCTGACACACACACTGGATAAACCTGACACACACACTGGATAAACCTGACACACACACTGGATACACCTGACACACACACTGGATAAACCTGACACACACACTGGATAAACCTGACACACACACTGGATAAACCTGACACACACACTGGATAAACCTGACACACACACTGGATAAACCTGACACACACACTGGATAAACCTGACACACACACTGGATAAACCTGACACACACACTGGATAAACCTGACACACACACTGGATAAACCTGACACACACACTGGATAAACCTGACACACACACTGGATAAACCTGACACACACACTGGATAAACCTGACACACACACTGGATAAACCTGACACACACACTGGATAAACCTGACACACACACTGGATAAACCTGACACACACACTGGATAAACCTGACACACACACTGGATAAACCTGACACACACACTGGATAAACCTGACACACACACTGGATAAACCTGACACACACACTGGATAAACCTGACACACACACTGGATAAACCTGACACACACACTGGATAAACCTGACACACACACTGGATAAACCTGACACACACACTGGATAAACCTGACACACACACTGGATAAACCTGACACACACACTGGATAAACCTGACACACACACTGGATAAACCTGACACACACACTGGATAAACCTGACACACACACTGGATAAACCTGACACACACACTGGATAAACCTGACACACACACTGGATAAACCTGACACACACACTGGATAAACCTGACACACACACTGGATAAACCTGACACACACACTGGATAAACCTGACACACACACTGGATAAACCTGACACACACACTGGATAAACCTGACACACACACTGGATAAACCTGACACACACACTGGATAAACCTGACACACACACTGGATAAACCTGACACACACACTGGATAAACCTGACACACACACTGGATAAACCTGACACACACACTGGATAAACCTGACACACACACTGGATAAACCTGACACACACACTGGATAAACCTGACACACACACTGGATAAACCTGACACACACACTGGATAAACCTGACACACACACTGGATAAACCTGACACACACACTGGATAAACCTGACACACACACTGGATAAACCTGACACACACACTGGATAAACCTGACACACACACTGGATAAACCTGACACACACACTGGATAAACCTGACACACACACTGGATAAACCTGACACACACACTGGATAAACCTGACACACACACTGGATAAACCTGACACACACACTGGATAAACCTGACACACACACTGGATAAACCTGACACACACACTGGATAAACCTGACACACACACTGGATAAACCTGACACACACACTGGATAAACCTGACACACACACTGGATAAACCTGACACACACACTGGATAAACCTGACACACACACTGGATAAACCTGACACACACACTGGATAAACCTGACACACACACTGGATAAACCTGACACACACACTGGATAAACCTGACACACACACTGGATAAACCTGACACACACACTGGATAAACCTGACACACACACTGGATAAACCTGACACACACACTGGATAAACCTGACACACACACTGGATAAACCTGACACACACACTGGATAAACCTGACACACACACTGGATAAACCTGACACACACACTGGATAAACCTGACACACACACTGGATAAACCTGACACACACACTGGATAAACCTGACACACACACTGGATAAACCTGACACACACACTGGATAAACCTGACACACACACTGGATAAACCTGACACACACACTGGATAAACCTGACACACACACTGGATAAACCTGACACACACACTGGATAAACCTGACACACACACTGGATAAACCTGACACACACACTGGATAAACCTGACACACACACTGGATAAACCTGACACACACACTGGATAAACCTGACACACACACTGGATAAACCTGACACACACACTGGATAAACCTGACACACACACTGGATAAACCTGACACACACACTGGATAAACCTGACACACACACTGGATAAACCTGACACACACACTGGATAAACCTGACACACACACTGGATAAACCTGACACACACACTGGATAAACCTGACACACACACTGGATAAACCTGACACACACACTGGATAAACCTGACACACACACTGGATAAACCTGACACACACACTGGATAAACCTGACACACACACTGGATAAACCTGACACACACACTGGATAAACCTGACACACACACTGGATAAACCTGACACACACACTGGATAAACCTGACACACACACTGGATAAACCTGACACACACACTGGATAAACCTGACACACACACTGGATAAACCTGACACACACACTGGATAAACCTGACACACACACTGGATAAACCTGACACACACACTGGATAAACCTGACACACACACTGGATAAACCTGACACACACACTGGATAAACCTGACACACACACTGGATAAACCTGACACACACACTGGATAAACCTGACACACACACTGGATAAACCTGACACACACACTGGATACACCTGACACACACTGGATAAACCTGACACACACACTGGATAAACCTGACACACACACTGGATAAACCTGACACACACTGGAGCTTTAAGCTGATCTCATGTGGTCAGACTGACAGCAGGACACTTTTTCTAAAATGTACAACAGATAATAAAAAGTGACTCGTGTTGTGATTTAACCAAAAGACTCTTATCTTTATTAACATGTATGACACGAGGCAACCCACCCAGCCTGTACACTGTTTTCCAAACTCTTCTCTTTTCTTTACAAATGATTAGAAAACTGTACAGTACCAAAATAAATAAAAAAAGAGTTAGTAAAGGTCTCACGTCACTTTAAAAAAATGTGTTTGGCAAAACTCACTTTTTCTTCTAAGACAAACACAACTAAAGAAACAGAAGCAGAACATCACATGTTTAAAGAAGAAGAAGAAGAAAAGTTTTCATGCAGCAACTTTAAAAACAGCCTGAGAATGTTTTAATGTCGACTGACCAGGAGGAGGAGGAGGAGGAGGAGGAGAAGAGGAGGAGGAGGAGGAGAAGAAGAGAAAGAGGAGGAGGAGGAGGAGGAGGAGGAGAAGAAGAAGAGGAGGAGGAGGAGAAGAAGAGGAAGAGGAAGAGGAGGAGGAGGAGGAGGAGGAGGAGGAGAAGAAGAAGAAGAAGAAGAAGAAGAAGGAGAAGAAGGAGAAGGAGGAGGAGAAGGAGAAGAAGAAGAGGGAGGAGAAGAACAGACACTTCAGAAAGTTAAAGAGGAAAAAATGGTTGAAGAAACAAAGTTAGAAATTTGAATGAATGAATGACTCCTCAGGGTGACAGTGTGACTCAGCCTGGTTTCTACACTGTTATTGAATGTCAGGCTTTGAAGCATTTTGATGAACAGAGTCAGTCTCCATCCATGTCAGTGAAAACATGGATGCTTCACACACAGAAGATCTATACAATCAGCACAGTTTCAAGATTAGAGTCACCAATTCAGTATCTGACCAAATGTCTCCCCTTCTGTTCCTGAGATATGACGTTAAAACATGATGATGTCACAGTCAAGCTGACCTTTGACCTTTTGACCTTCATTATTTTATCCTGTTAGACATTTGTGTCAAGTTTGGTCAGAATTAGTGAATGAATTCTTCAGTTATGGACAAAAACATGTTTTGTGAGGTCACAGTGACCTTTGACCACAAAATTCTAATCAGTTCATTGTTGAGTCCAGGTGGACGTTTGAGTCAAAGTTTTAAAAATTCCCTCAGCATGTTGTTGACATATTATGTTTATGAGAATGGGCTTGAAAACATGATATCTCCTGCCACAGCTGAGGCACCTGACAGAAAACAAATCTACTCTTTAACTAGTTTAAAAATGTCTTAATAAATGTTGATAAAATGTCAAAAAAATAATAAAATATCTGAAAAAAATACTGAAAAAAGGTCATAAAAATGTTTTTAAATTCTTCAACACATATTAATAAAATGTCTCAAAAATGTTTATAAAATGTCGTAAAATGTTGCAAAAATATGAATAAAATATAGAGACAATATCAACTTTTTTAGATGTTTAAATATTGAATTTAGAGAGCTTATATTTGACTGATGAAGTTTGTTGTTTGTCATCTTCAATCAGTGAAACATTTTCAGCTCACAGACTCGTCTCAGTTTGAATCAGTCGAGTCTCTCAGGTCACTTTTCCACCAACATAAAACAGCTTCTGTTCTGGTTCCTGCATCTCATCGTGAACTGGACAGAGCATTTCAAAAAAATTAAACTGGTTTGGAGCCCAGAAAGTTGTTTCTGAACCAACAAACGGCAGGTATTTCTGAAATGGATGTTTGAAACATGATGACATCAGAGGGCGTGTCATAGTCTACAGGTTGGAAAGAGACGATAGAGACGGCAACAAACGAGAAACATAACAAGAACTCGTCAGGAAAAAGACTAGAAGCTCACAGGTCGTCAGAGTGATCTGTCGTCCTGCTACAACTGTTTACTTCTATCTATCTATTTATTTCAATGGTTCTGCTGGTGGAAACGCAGACTGGTTCTCCAGATCGAACCAAGGTTTCAAGAACCAGAGCTCGTCTGCTGGACTCAGTTTGCTCCTGTTTCCTGCTCTTTGGTTCTGGTCTCAGAGACGACCGACAGTTTCTGCTTTCAGGTTTTTTACCATCAGAACGTGTTTCTGTCTGTCAGAGCTGGCGAGGTGTGTCTGTTCACACTGAGCTGAAGGAAACATGATGATTTTTTGTCTCTGATTTCTGAGAGGATTTATGGAGTCATGTTTAATCTGGATAAACGTCAATGACAATGAGACTAAATGATTTCAACATGAGTTCACATTTCATGAGACGATAAGGAGGAGATTTATCTTTAAATGATAATCTGACAGAAGCTGTGAGTCAGTGTGTGTGTCGAGTCAAAGGCAGCAAATCATCCAGTGAGATGAGCTCTGTATTAATAACTGAATTATTGCTCGTCTCTCCGTCTCCTTTTTTTTCTTCTCTCGCTCAAACTTAAATACAGTTTCTATCATGTAAACTCTGAAATCACACATCAGCTTTTTGCATAACTAATATATTAAAGTTTTAAGATCAGCACCATAAAAACAAACAGACATGATAAATATATAAAATCAGAATAAATAATTAATGTATTAAATTAGATGATAAATAGAAAGGCACTTCCAGAACTTTCATCCTCTCTGAGATCTGTTCGTCGTCACTGACTCAGGACCAGCAGTGTGTTCCTCTGCTTTGACGGGATGTGTCCACAGAGGACAAACGTCAGTCACCATGGAAACACATCCAAAAACAGTTTTCTTACATCAGTTGTCACCGACATGTTCTGAGTTTTTAACTTCCTGTTTGTTCCAGCTGCAGCTCCTCTGTCTCCGTCTCCGTCTCATCTGTTCGAGTCTTCAGAGATTTGACTTTGATTAAACGAATGAATGAATGAGTCTGTCGGACGTTTTGTCCGCTGAGATAAATGACGTCAGAGTTTTCCTGTGATGTCCTGAAAAATGAATTTCTGCTCAGGACAATAAATCATGTCCTTTGTCATTATGCCACAGAGACTCCTCTCCTTTCTGCGCTTCCCATTGGTCGCCATGAACGTGTTATCAGAGCTAGAAACTGCACTTCAACATTTCACTCATTCATTTTAATCAAAGTTGCTCCCTTGTGCATGACTGTCAGTGTTTTTGGGGCCTCAGTAGATTTTTTTTTGTTGCAGTACTGTGAGTAGCCACAGGGGGCAGGCTGACAGCAGTGGTGCTCTTTTAATACGCCCATCCCCGTCTCTCCTCTCACACCTCCACCTCCTGCTGTCCTCCCTGCGTGGCGGCGGCGGCTGATGTCACAGCGATGTCAAAGCATGTCTCCATCATGACGCGGGACTTGCAGAGGTTGACGCAGTACTCCAGCTCCGCCGTGACCTGAGCCAGAGCCTCCAGGTACTCCTGGGACTCCCGGTCCAGGTCCTGGTCCACGTCGACTGGAGGGGGGACACAGACAGGAAGAGACGAGTCAGAGTTAAAAACATTTCATATGAATACGCAAGAATCACCGCCCTGTGGTTGTATGACTCCGCCCACCGGCCCAGTCACAGTTACAGTTTATATCCATGTGTCACCTCTCAGTGAGGACTCCTAACCTTCTTAACAATAATGTTAGCCTGACTCGTTGTTAGCTGGTGACTAGCCTCTAGCAGTGCAAAGGGAAGGACCGTGAGGCGTTCAGGTGCTGTTCACCAACACAGACTTTATGAGTCTTCACCACAAAACATGGCCATCTCATGAGGTCTAACAGCCCTGAACTTATTCACACACTTCATTCTGCTGCTGTCATCACTGTTTGTTGCATCGTCACCATGACAATCCAACATAGCTGCTTCCCTCCACACACAACAAAACTCATGTCACACACTCACAGGTTACACACAAGGCCGCTGCCCTTAAAGGGAAATGTCCGTCCAGACTTGAACGGAGCAATGACAGAAGACGACAATTCAAATATGGACGCTGCTGAAAAGAAGCTACAAATTCTACAACATCTGACCAATCAGATTCAGTATCTGACCAAATGTCTCCCCTTCTGTTCCTGAGATATGATGTTAAAACATGATGATGCCACAGTCAAGCTGACCTTTGACCTTTTGACCTTCATTATTTTATCCTGTTAGACATTTGTGTCAAGGTTGGTCAGAATTCGTGAATGAATTCTTCAGTTATGGACAAAAACATGTTTTGTGAGGTCACATTGACCTTTGACCACAAAATTCTGAGGGCAAAAGTCCAAGAGGACATTTGTGCCAAATTTGGGGGATTGAAATATCATGTTCATAAGAATGAGACAGATGATGTCATAGTGACCTTTGATCACCAAAATGTAATCACTGCATTGCTGAGTCCAAGTGGATGTTTGTGTCAAATTTCAAGAAACTCACTCAAGATATACTTTAGATATCACATTCATGGGAATAAGACAGACACAAGGTCACAGTGACCTTTGTCCTTCAACCTCAAAATTCCTCATTTCAATCAGTTTATTCTTCAGTCCAAGTTGATGTTTGTGCCAAGGAAAAAAATGTCCTTAAGCCGTTCTTGAGACACTGAATTCATGAGAATGAAACAAATGCAAGGTCACATTTACCTTTGACCACCAAATTCTAATCAGTTCATTCTTCAGTCCAGGTGGACATTTGTGCCAAATTTGAAGAAAATTTGGAAAGTGTGTGTCGGACGGATTGACAACCTGTAAACATGATGTCTTCGATCTCGGCTGTCTCGAACGCCGAGGCTTAAACATAAAGAGAACACGGTGAATCGGCTCAGATGTCTGCGGACTCTTTCTGTCTCGTCAGCCGAGGATCGTCTGGAGAAACACGATCGTATCAAACACATAAAATCTAACAGTTTGTAGTTTGGGAAAAATCTTGTGTAAAAGAGTCAGTGTAAAAAATATCCAAAGTGTGTCAGGTGTTTCAGGGTGGAGTCAGTCTGAATGAATGAATGAATTAATTAATTAATTAATTAATTAATCTCAGTCAGTGTGATGTCTTCTTCTCTGATGGTGCAGGGCATGCTGGGATACGCTGACGGAGCCTGACCACGTCTCTGTATCTCCACAGAAGCAGACAGAGATTTATGAGCAGCTACTGGAGGAGATAATGTCTTATTGATCTGAGGACGAGCCGAGGCCTCGCAGCTCGTCTGACTGTTTTCTCAGAGGTGAGCTGAGAGTTCGTCCCGCTGATGGAAAATAAAACTGTGTCCCTCGAGGCTGTTTGTCTTCACAGTTTGCTCCAACAGTCTCCTCTCCGAACTCCGCCAGCTGGAGCCAGAAACAGAATCCTGGTGGAGCCAGTAGAGCTGCAGAGGAAGAGTTTTAACAGGTGAGGCTTCGAGCTGCTCGCGCTCTCAGCTGAAAACACACTGGATGTTTCTCAAAGTCAAGAAAGGATCCTCAGTAGCAGATCCCAATATAGGCCGAATGGGCGTCTGCCCAGGGCGGCACATTGTCACAACGTGTGGGGGGTCGTTTAGGCTAGAACTGTCACCGAGGATCCTCGAACAGCTGAATCTGGAGGACGTTACGTCATCGACCCATCGAAGGAAGGACTGTTCCAATGTCAAGGATTCTTCTGAGTTTCACGAAGGACTGAGTCCTTCTTTCACAGAAACACCAAGGATGCATGTGTGGATCCTCCACGGGTATAAAATCCCCACAATGCTTTGCACACGATTTGCAGGTAGTGAGGGCGGGGCCTCTTCAGTGAAACCTCTTCAGTCTGCTGAGGGTTAATGATGATCACATGGGGACACTTGTTAGTCTGTTCCAGTGTGTGTTCACTGAATGAGAGGAAGGACTCTGTCTCTGGAGGACTCGTTCTCTTGACTCTGAGAAACACCCACTGTCTGTCTGTCCACACTGTGTGTTTGTGGTCAGACGCTGGATCATCTCTGAGAACAGCTTTAGAGTGTTATCATGAGAACAGTCTTGCTGAAGGTGCAGGAGGACTGAACCACTGGTGAAAGTAATAAACTGCGAGGCTGAGTGAGAGCACTGTGCAGGGTTTCTGTTCAAAGGTTTTCCATGAACAGCAGTCGTAGACAGAACCTGGCAGATAATGCGTTCATGGCACCACCTCGGTGGAGGTTCCAAATGAGTTGATAATAGAAGGTGGGGTGCAAACACTGCAGACCTCTGATTGGTCAGAGAGAATCATCACTAACCTAACAAAGGATGTTTACTGTACAACGCACCAAGCCCTTCATACACCACGTTGTATACTACATACACTGAAACATATGATTAACAAATTGAAGGTGTTCCTCTGATTGGTAACTGGTCACAGCAGATTGACGTGAGGTCACCCTGGCCATCAGCCGAGAATCCATCAATACTGAGAGCAACTCTGAGCAAGGAGGGGACAGACACGTTTATCTTAGTGAGGAGGTGTGGTTGACCCCGTTGCTAGGTATGACGCAGTCTTCTAAAAGCTGTGATTGGTTGTTACAAAAAAAAAATGCGCTCCTAGTAATGAATGGACAGTGAAATGAACCGATCATAGAACGTAGACTGTATTAAGAAATGTGTAATCGTGAAAATAATTTTATGTCATGATGATGAAACTCAGCAAAATTAAATTAATTGTTACACAGCTTCAAAATGTTTGAACGTACCTCATTCACATGCCGATTATTATATTAATTTGCTTATTGTTATGTTTACTCGCCATGCTGGTAATTTTACTTCTTAATCTATTTGATATTAATGGTGGACGCAGACTCAGCTGTCAGCATTTACTGTGTTTGCTGGCCTCCTTGTAAAAAGTGGTTTGATTTGGCAGAATGATCAAAACAACGAATGAAATGGAGAAAAAAATAATGAGAAATCCGAACTGGACAGAAGAGCAGTGTCTGCTGTTGGCTCAGCTCTTGGAGGAGAACAAATGAGTTTTAATAGGGAAATTCGGTCCCGGGATCACGGCACAAGGGAAGAGGCAGACTTGGAAGCTCATTGCCCAACAAATCAGTGCGTCGTTCCCTCTCCTTTTACGCACAAGCGATGAGTGTGAGAAGCGCTGGTACGTGCTGCAATCCAAAGCAGGCGTTATTGCGTTTCTACGCTGGGTGGGAAAAGTAAGCTCATCCCTGATGAGGTCAACCACAAACATTCTCCCTGCACGATCAAGCCGGTAGCGTCTTATTAAATCACTGTCGTTCAATATACGGAGAATATCTCTCCTTCCTCTCTGTCTTTCCGCCATCTTCTCTGTTTAAGACACTCTTAGGCTTCTTAAAAGTCCTCCTCCCTCCTCTTAACAGTTTTTCACCTTAGGAGCTCTCTTAAGGCCTAAGATGCTTTGTGAATAACTTTTATCTTACCAAGGGAAAATTCTAAGAAAAATCTTAGAATTCGAGGAATTCTAAGATTTTTCTTAGAATGACGTCACTAAGAGCTACTTTTAGTCTTAGGATTCTTTGTGAATACGGGCCCTGGTCTCAAAGAACCTGGTACCAAAGAACCTGGTCTCAACAAACCTGGTCTCAAAGAACCTGGTGCCAAAGAACCTGGTGCCAAAGAACCTGGTCTCAAAGTGAGCTGAGTGGAGTTGAAGTGAAGTACGCAGTAGAATAAGAGTCGTCTAATAAGATCCACCTCTGTGATAATATCAGCTGACGTCACATTAACATTTCAAACAGCAGAAATAAATAAATGTCAGTTGAATCACCAGGGTCAGTGGATTCACCTGCAGGGTCAAAGTGTTGTGAATATTTTGCCTCAAATTCATCTTTGTTGAAAATCTGACCTGTGAGCCTCACCACTGAGCTACAGTGAACCCCGTCACTGGCAGAGTTTTATACTGTAATGACTGTATTTATATATGATCTGTGTACATGTGTGTGTGCTGTGTACGTGTGTGTGCTGTACTCACACTCTCCACTCCACTTGCCGGGGTGGAGCATCAGCCGGCTCTTGGCCTCCTCCAGCTCCACCTTCAGCCTCTCGTGTTTGCTCTTCAGCTCTCTGGTCTGCTGCTGTCGCTTCTCCAGCATCCTCAGCCGGGCGTTAAAGTACAGCAGACCCTGAGGACCAAACACAATCTGCTGATACTTCTGTCTCTGGTGTCTCTGTGATGTGAACTCTGCAGAGCGTCAGCAGGTTTATATAGGTGGGAGGGGGGATTACCACCAGTGGAATGGGGGCTGCTAACCTGCTCTGAGACGTCAGTCTGTGTCCATGGCTGGATTTAATTAGGAGCCAGCCGGAGATAAAATTAGCATGTGCAATAATCTGCCGGCTGTAGGCTTAATCTGTGGGCGGAGGATTAGGGCCAGTTGAGGACGGACAGGTGACGGAGAGGTGGATCAGTGTCGCCTCTCAGCTTCACTTAATTACAGGTGTTGGAGGAAGACAGAAGGGAGGAAGTCTCTGCTGAGGCAGGAAACGCTGCAGCGCTCACAGACTGATACGAATGTTTTATCCATGAGGACATGTGATCATTTTTCTCTTAAGATCGGTATCTTAATGAGACTTAAACTGTTATAAAGGAGGCAGAGTTTCCACGTTTGTTAAAAGGATAGTGCACCCAAAAATGACAATTCAGCCATTATCTACTCACCCTCATGCCAAGGGAGCTAGCACACCTAATGGCATACGGGGCCCCAGACTAACGTCCAAGAACACAAAATTGAATCCACAAAGTATCTCCATACTGCTCATCCTTAGTGATCCAAGTGTCCTGAAGCCTCGACATAAAAAGTTGTTTCGAAAAACGTCATTTGAACTCTGTTTTTATCCTCATTGTAGCCTGTAGCTCTGACTGCTTCTCTGTGCTCCGCGCTCACGTGTGCACGCTTGACAGGAAGTGACCACCGTGAGATGGTGTATCATCTCTAGTCAACAGCTCTCTGTGCTTCTGATCTGTAACGCTGACAGGAAGTGACCACCATGAGACGGCGTATCATCTCTAGTCAACGATTCTCTGTGCTTCTGATCTGTAACATTGACAGGAAGTGACCACCATGAGACGGCGTATCATCTCTAGTC